TAAAAAAAAAAAAAAAAAAAAAAAAAAAAAAAACCAAAACCAAAAAACCCACATTGCTGAGCCCTGAGATTCTGAATTAGGCTGAGGGTGGTGAGAGGCATCGTAGTGGGTCCCTGGATGCTGGTGCTGCTACTGTCCTGGGCCGTCCTGTGAGAACCACCTCCCTGGAGATGTGATCACACATGACTTGGCATCTCGGTCTGGAGCATGGCCAGGCTGGGGGAGGATAGGGCATGAGCTGGCTTGCAGGGTCAGAGGCAGGTGCAGAAAGTCTTGCCTTTGGGCCAGGCGGTGGAGCCTGATGCCCTTGGGGTGTGTTTTGCCCACAGTGTTGCTATCGAGAACTGCAGTTTCCAAATGGCCCCGCTGCCACAGCCAGAGAGTTGAGCACACTTGTCACAGCACTCAGATGGCAGATGGTGGTGGTCTTCTAGTCTTTTGGGGAGACAGGATCTTTTGTGTAGTTCAGAGTGGCCTTGAATGTACTGTATAGTCCAGGCAGGTCTCAAAGTCACAGTGATCCTCCTGCCTCAGCCCCCTGAGTGTGGGGATTACTGGTGTTCGCCACTATACTCTCCTGTGGGTAGTGGTCTTTTGTAAGCTCTGCTCGCATCATCTGCCAAGGGACTTGTCCAGTCTCCACTGGGTGACTCTAAGGCTGGCAGCTCCAGTGGGGAAGGGCCAACAGGCCAGGCTGGGTTGCTGTGAAGCCCAGAGCTGGTGGGAAGAGGTGTTGCTTTTGAGACCAGACTCGGTCTACAGTCTCTACCTGGACAGCTGGGGGTGCCTCCTGTCTGATCCTCTAGTTCCTGGCCATTCTGCAAACTGCATCCAAGCTGGGTTTGCAACTCAGTGGCCTGCACTGCAAAAACAAACAACATTAGACCATGTTTCTTAAAAATGACCTCCCTGTCCTCAGATAAAGTCCAGCCACCTTCACGTGGCCTGCAGAGTGGTCTCTGCCACATTCTTGTAGCCTTCTTTTCTGTCTGTGCAGGTCCTTATGGAAGCCGCTGTGGACACTAAGTTCTTAACCTGTGCTATCTTCACTGAGTCTCCAAATGTTTTTTGTTTTGCTTTCATTTTAATTAATTAATTAGTTAATTAATTTAGAGACAAGCTTGCCATGTACATAGTTCAGGCCGGCCTGGAACTCACTGTGTAGTCCAAAGTGGCTTGGAACCTGTGGTCATCATCCTGCCTCAGCCATCTGAATGCTGAGATTCCAGGCATGCAACACCACACCCGGCTTCCGAGTCTCCAAACTCAACTGCGTCCTCCTGAACATCCCATCCCATCCATCCCCCCACCAATCCCTTCACTGGACTTTTTCATGTCCTGCAGGCCTCCAGGAACATTTCTTTGGAGGAGCTGCTGTGACCTATCATACCACCGTGTCTACCTGCTGTGTTCCCTGTGGGCAGCCTGGCACACTGGAGAGTGGATGGTACCCACCATCTTGTTCCCTGGTTGTCCACACTGAGGTAAGCAGGGGCGGGGGGTTACTTCTGGGGTCCTGCCCTGTTCTATAATAGTGCCTTCTGTGGGTAGCGAATGACCTTCTAAAGGTAGAGAAGATCAAAAGCTGGACATGCAAGGGCTGCCAGTGTAGCTCGCCTAGCATTTGCCAGCCCAGGGTTTGTTCCCCAACACCACACAAAAAATACAAATAAATGCCCCCGAACCCCTCCTTTTCCCAGATGTTCTTGCTGTAAAATTCCCAGTGTGATTCAGATTCTGCCAGTTAGATGCAGTCATTGCAGGCTGGTGGGAAGAGGCTGGCCGCCTCCTTGTGATGGTTCCCGGGACATCCCCTTTGCTGGTGTGGCCCTGGCAGGGGCAGCATAACTGTGGAGCCAGTTGCTACCTGGTGGCAGCAGAGGCCGTGACTCCCTGGCAGCCCAGTTCTGCAACGTGATCCTGCAAGCAGCCCAGGAGCTTGGCCTAGAGGCTGCTGCTTCTGCTCCTCTTGTGTACCTCTGGGCTGTTTAATATCCTGCACAGAAGCCACTTCTGCCTACTCTCACAGGCCCGCCCTTGCTGTCCTTGAGTGGTGAGTTGCTTGCAGGAGTATTTGCTTTCTCTGCTGTGTGAGGGAACAGATTCGGTGACTTCAATAATCCCTGGTCAGCTGCAGGCAATGAATATTTGTTGAATGAATGAACTTCTGTGCTGAGGCTTTTTCTTTTTTTGTTTTCCAGTGCTAGGGATTAATCCTTTGCACTGAGCTATGTCCTCAGCCCATTCTTTTTTTGCGGGGGGTGGGGGGACTGGAGAGTGAACTGAGGACCTTGCACTTTCGAGACAGGTGGTAGAACCACTGAGCTAATCCCTGGCCAGAGCCCATCCTATTATTTTTTTCCCATCCTATTTTTAATACTGTATTTTGAGACAGAATCTCCCTAAAGTTGCTAAGTTGCCTAGGCGGGGCTCAAACTTGTGATCCTTCTGTTTCAGTCTTCCAGAGTCCTGGGTCTTCTTGACTCTGCTACCAGATGCTGGTATATGTTTCATTAAAAAAAAAATTATTGACTGATGACTGATTTTTTTTTTTTTTTCTGGTACTGGAGATTGAACTTAGGACCTTGTACTTGAAAGGCAGGCATGGCACCACTGAGCTAAATCCCTGGACCCTGATGAATGATTTTTTTTTTTTTAGATATAACCTGGTTATGTAGTTCAGGCTGGCCTGGCACTCATGGCAGTCCTCTTGCCTCAGCCTCCAGAGTGGTGGGATTATAGGCATGTGCCACCACGTCCAGCTATTTCTGTTTTGTGAGAGGGTCTGAATAAATTGCCCAGGCTGGACTTGAACTTGCCATCCACCTGCCTCAGCCTCCCAGACTGCTGGGATTACAGGTATGCACCACCATACCTGAATTGGATTGCATGTTAAATCTGATAGGTGTTTTTGAATGTGGTGGTGCATGCCTGTAATCCCAGCACCTGGGAGGCTGAGGCAGAAAGATTGCTGCAGGTCCAAGGCCAGCCTGGGCGACTTCCTAACTTCAAAGTCAGCCCTGGTAGGTGTAAACTAGCTTTTAGTTCATTTAGTATGAATTAACTTCAGGGTTAGAGGGTTGTTTAGAAGAAATCCTAATAGGTGGCTGTGACGGTTGACTTGTGGGGCAGGTGTGGCCCATGGAGGATGGAATCACCACTGACAGGTCTGAGCTCTCTACTCAGGAGGCTGTAATGGCCACGCAGATATCAGTTAGAAGGGTTGAACCTCTCACCTTCCAGCAGAAAATTTCTGCTTTCAGCCCCTTGTGCAAGTACTGTACCAGGCCTATGTTGGAGCCGATGACCCTTTTTGCCTTTGAGGAAGAAAAATCCAGTTAGGGAATTTCTGGGAAGACAGGGTAATTAGGTGTCCAGTGTAGTGGGAGAAAAGTGCTCAGAGTAGTCCAAGGAAGCTTCCTGGAGGAGGAGCCACCTGAGCTGAGCTCAAGAGAACGCATGCAGGACTAGGGGAGGGCATTGTCGCAAGATGTTAGAAACCAGGGAGGACCTGATTGACCTAAAATGCTGTACTGTGTGTCCCTGAAGCCTTGTCGTACGATGGTCCTGGAGCTTGGACATTTCACACTTTGGCGTGTTACTGAACCCAGGTCTTTCTGAGTTGTCGTACTGTCTCATCAAGCCACTAGATCATGCTTTTTATTTATTTGACCCTGAATAACAAGTCGGGGAATTTTGCTTCAAGTGGATGACGAAAGTGACCAATGTGAGCAGCGCCTTGTTCCCTAAGCCACACACTGGGCCCCGGGTTCTGACAGATGGGAGCCAACTGAGAGGGACAACAGGTCAGACTTTTGCAATCGGGTGTCTGGGAATTGATGATGGACACATGATGAGAAGAGGGGCGACTCTTTCCTGGCCCTGGGTGGGGTGGGGAGCTGGCAGGTCCCACTGATCCCTTCCCTGCCTGCCGCCTGCCTGATTCAATCATTCTTGGACGCCGGGTGTCCCTGCAGAGCCTGCGGCTGGCCACAGCTGGGGAATGCGCTGCTTCCCTCCCTCCCCTGTCCTGGCCGGCAGTAAACTCACCAGGCTCAGCGTGGGGCTAAATAAGCCTTCTCCAGCCTGTCTGCCTGGCCACAGCCTGTGGCCTCTAACCTCCTTCCCCAGGCGCCGACACACAGGCTCAGTAAATACTGGCTGATGAGCAGCTGGAAGCTGGCTCTAATTCTGTTCCCTGCTTCTGGATCTCCACTGAGTTGTTGTTGCTTTTTAATTTTCCCATCCTGCCCCTCCCAGGAGCAGGAGTTTTCACTGCTTTTAGGTGCCCTGCCCACAATTTCCTGCATGGTGTGGAAATCTCCCACCCTAGGTGGCCAGTGGCGGTGCCAGTGCCGGAGGGTATGTGTCTGGGAGAAGAGAACACATCCTTGTAGGGTGTGGAGAGCAGTTAGGTGGGAGGGCAGAGGAAGCAGAAGCCAAAGAATGGACCCACTGAATGCCGGAGCTGCCCAGGCAAGGTCAGGCAAGGGCTGGTTTTCAAACCTGTGTTTGCTCTTTGCTTGGGTGAAGATTTCACCTTGTCTGAGGGGCCTCTTGGATGGTGTTCGTAGAGAAAGGGATGGGAGAGGCTGAGTGCTTTTTCTCTGAGCTCTTTGAATCCCAGAGAAGTGTCTGGTGTGGTTGGAGACTGCTAGTTTTCTAACTGCAGACCTTACAGCTATACAGATGACTGTATCATTGTGGACTGACCATGAATATGAAGACTATTCTGGTGAAGTACGTGTACAACACCTGGCAGATTTGGGAGTCAGATGATTGCTCTTCTGGGTCCCAGGCTTCTGAACTCCTTAACTGTGACCACTATGTTTTCTATACTGCTGCACTCTGAGCCCCAGCTGGGACACTTCAGTAGGTTGAAGTAAAAGAACACGAAACGAGGGCTGTGTTGTAAATGTAGCTCAGCGGGAGAGTGCACACAGCCCTGGGGTTGGTCCTCAGCAGCTCCACTCCCCCATCAAAGAAAACCAAAACCATTTCACATTTTAGTTCTCTCCCTCAGATATATCCACTCTCAGCACTAGGTGAACAGTATTCCTCACACTCTTCAGCCATATTTATGCCTAGATAAATGAATACAGAGAAATAGATATAAATACTTGTATGGAAAAGTATTAAAATGTCTGTGAATACAGTGGAAGAAGAAACTGCCATAAAATTTTAAAAAGTATTAAGCTTTAAAGAAATGTGTTATTCACAAGAGATAATTTTCTACCCAGTAAAGAAAATAGCTTGTGAGTCACATGTGTAATTACTTGCTTTCTTTTCAGACAGTACCTATTGACTCTGCTATGAAAAATGAGGGCATTAGAATTCTCACATTTGTTCTCATCTACTTTTTTTTTACATCCTGGTTATGTAAATCATATTGTTAAATTGCTCGTTTTATAATATTTAGACTGTCCTGTAACCATAGTCTTCATAATTAATGATTTGTAATTACTTCCTGTTTAGAGGACTTTAATGCTCATCATCATCCTCTTACATGGTCTCTGTATTCCTTTTTTTTTTTGGGTACAAGGGATTGAACTCCGGTCCTTGTGCTTGAGAGGCGGCGGAACCACTGAGCTAAATCCCGGCCCTGTATTCCTGAGCTCTTTATTTTTATTTCTGTACTACTCACCTGCTCTTCACTGTTAAGAAAGTGTACTCTTTTGTTGTATTCTCACCGTATTCTTTGACATCTTTCATGCTGGAGAATCTCTGTCAGTCTTTACCAAGTTTAGAGCCAGGCGTGACTGTGCACACCTGTAATCCCAGCACCTTGGGAGGCTGGGGTCCAAGAGGGTCACAAGTTCGAGCCTAGCCTCAAATTTAAAAAAAAAAAAAAATCTTGACCGAATTTGTATTGGATTTTGGCTAAGGATAATATTCTTTGTCCATATTTTCTTCCCCTTAGAATCATGAGGACATTCTTGGATTATCTTATGCTGGATGTTGCTGTGGGGAAGGTGAAGATAGTCTAGTCTGAATTTTCTTCTACTTTCACAATAAATGTTTTTGGGAAGGAAAAGAACTTCTGACTGGAGTTGTAGCTCAGTGGTATAGCATGTGCTTCGCTTGCTCAAGGTGCTGTGTCCAATGCCCAGCACCCAGAAACAAAAACAAAAAACAAAACAACAGCTGGGTGTGGTGACACAGGCCTATAATCCCAGCACTTGGTAGGCTGAGGCTGATCACCATGAGTTCAAGGCCAGCCTGGCTGTGTAGTGAGACCCTGTTTTAAAAAACCAAAAACATAAAAACAAAAAACAAGCAAACCCCCAAAATAGTTTCTTCTGGATACTTGAAAATGTCTTAAATGAGTAGCTGAGCTAGGCAGTTTTCAGTCTCTAGCATTTATGGAATAAATTATTTCCATCTTGAGATTCATTTCCCCCTTTCATTCATAGAAACCTCAAGTTGTCTTGAACACATCTCCCATTCCTTGGGTCTGGCATCTTTGCCCTGCTTTTGCTGTTAT